ATCACCAAGACAAAAAACAACAAATGTTGGAGAGGATGTGGAGAAACAGGAACCCTCATACAAGCTGGTGGGAATGCAAACTGGTGCAGCCTCTATGGAAAACGGTATGGAGATTCCTCAAAGAATTAAAAATATAAATACCCTATGATCCAGCTATCCCACTACTGGGAATCTATCCAAGAAACCTGAAATCAACAATCCAAAGAGGCTTATGCACCCCTATGTTCATTGCAGCATTATTCACTATGGCCAAGAAGTGGAAGCAACCTAAGTGTCCCTCTACTGATGACGGGATCAAGAAGATGTGGTATATATAAACAATGGAATACTACTCAGCCATAAAAAAAGACAAAATCATCCCGTTTTCAACAACATGGATAGGCCTGGAGGATATTATGTTAAGTGAAATATGCCAGAAAGAGAAAGACAAACACTGTATGATCTCACTCATATGTGGAATATAAACCAACACATGCACAGGGAAAACTGTATAGTGGTTACCAGGGGCAATGGGGGTATTGGGTGGGCACAAGGGGTGAAGGGAAACATATATATGGTGATGGACAAAGAAAAATGTACAACCAAAATTTCACAATGTTATAAACTATTAAAACATCAATTGAAAAAAAAAAAACAAAAAACAGTTTTCAAAATCTGCTTCGTAGAGGATGAAAAAACTGATTTTCAGTTAATCAAAATTCTATCATTGACCATTAGATGCAGTTTTTCTAAACCTGCCAACTTTTAGAAGGCATATTAAACCCTTAACAATTCAGATAAAAACACTAATCATTCACGCCCAAGAAACGGCACCTTCTTACATCTTATTCAGGTTTTCAAATCTCCATTGACTGCAACTGTCAACTTGTGAGACCCCCACCTGGGGTGAGGGGTGTGCCCCGTGCACAACTACTCAACAGGACACAGGCTGGGGCTCTATGTTGCTGTCATGGGAAAGGCCACCGTGCACGACACCTTATGTCAGGAGTGACAGACAGTCACAGGCAACCAGTTACTGGGCAGCATGGTTTGGGGCCCCTTGCAGACCAGCACTCCAGGCCGCTGCCGGCTGGCCCATCCCTCAGTTAGGCTCTGAGGACGAGGGAGCCAGGGGCTAAGTCCCAGTCCCCGCTGTGCCACGAACTCTTGGGGTCTCTGTCTAGAAGAAGCAGAGTTGAAAGAGCGGCCGGGTGACCTCTTGTCTGCTCTGCCTCCAGTTCAGCACCGTGTGCCTTGGACAAGCTGCTTGGCCCAGCCAAGGCTCATTCCCCCTCAGTCACTCATTCAGCAAACACAGGCAACGCCTCCTGTGTTCTTCTAATGATGGGCGAACACCTGCTCTACGCCAGGCACTATTCAAAGCACTTCGTATTTATCCGCTTGTCCAAACCTCAGAGCAGCCTGATGAGGTCAATACTCTTCTTGATGCATTTTACAGACCAGACTTCCTTCTTCCTACTGAAGAGACGACTGTCAACAAGACAGCTGGGCTCTCTGTCCTCGAGCATTACAATCCCCCCTTTAGAGGAAGGATATTAAAGAACTGACCTCCTAGGGTTCCCTGGGGCTCACCTAGGCAATGTATTGCCACTGCTGGATAGAACTTTGCATGTGGTTAGTGCTCAGCACATGAGCTATTATTAGACAGTAAAATCAAGACAACAGCACTGCTTTTATCTTACAAGGATCTCATGTGGATTAAAAGTGGCTGCTGAGGTGAAAGTCGGTGAATTATCAGGAAAATGCAAGAGTCAGAAATCAAATTGCCACTGTGGGGCCATGGCTGGTGTTCCCGCTGACGAAGGACGTGCTGGTCAGAGTGGGCAGGGTGGGTGGGTGGTCAGAGGGGCTGGCTGGGAGGGTTCTTATCCTCACAGGGTATCTGCTCCCGCTCCAGGAGTAGGAGGTTGAGATCAGTTCCCCGTCCTTATGGGGAAGGTAGCCTCTTTGCCAGCTCCCAGTGTAAGATGAGCCCCAACTTCCCTCCCTCGGTGAGGGAGGCTCCGAGGAGGCAGCTGCAAGGCCAGGTCGGGCTGCCTTGGAAGGAAGAGCTGGGGCCCCCCTCTACCTACCCAGGGAGGCAGCCTGAAGACCACAGAAAACCGTTACAAAGGCACCATCATAACAGAGCTGGGGGAGGCTCACCTCCCACTCACCTCCGTCATGTCTCCGAAGGGCAGAATCTCCAGGTCCCGGGTCAGGGAGCAGCAATGGAGCACCTGGAGGTACCTGCGATGGACAGAGAGCTGAAGGGGCAGGGCCGGGCTGCGGGACCTCCAGCCTTCCCAAGTTTGGAAGGGAAAGGTCTTGCATTCCATGATAAGAACTGTGGTGGACCCAATCCTGCATCTAATGGTAAACCACAGGAGGCTTTTTCATTTCCTTCCTCCCTTCATTTCTTTTAATCTGATACATGCCCTTAGTGAAGACTTGAACAGAACAAAAAGAAGATACAGTGAAAAGCAAGTCTCTCTCCCATCTTTGACCCTCACTTGCTTTCCCTGGAAGCAGCCACTTCACAGTTTCTTATGTATTTATTCAGAAATAATCCAGTCATATGTGTCTCTGCGCAGCATAAATAGGTTTATATTGTTTTAATGGCACCATAATATTCCATTATCCGGCTGCACGGTGAATTATTTAGCCAGTGCCCCCCGATGGACATTTGTGTTGTTTCTAGTCTTTTGCTACTATAAACAATGCAGTGTGAACATTCTTGTAAATGGGTCTTTGTGTTTGTGGGTGAAATTATCTATGCATCAAACACCAAGCAGTGGGTTTGCTGAGGCAAAGAGTTGGTGCACTTTTATTTTTGGCAGACGTTTCAACACTGCTCTATGAGTCGTACCAATCTGAAAGGAGAGCAATGACAAGATGAGAGCTGTGTGTTTGGACAGCTTCCTGAAGTGGGACACAGGGTGGAACAGAGCAGAAGACTGGAGACAGGGAGCCAAGGGCTGGGGCAGTGGGAAGAGTTTGAGAAAAAGATCACAGACCACAACTGGAGGGAGGTGGAGAAGAAGAGAGACCTACAAGAGATGTTTAGGAGATAGAGCTGCCCAGGGTTGGCGACCAATTAGATGTGGAAGAGAGAGGAGGAGGCATCAGGCTCGCCGGGTGCACAGTTCACTGACAGCATTAAACCGAATTGGGAAACTTGGGAAGAGAAGCAGAGGGGCTGGCGGTTGGGCACGCAGGGGGATCATGTGTTGGTTCTGGAGCTGATGTTGAGGAGCCCACGGGACAACCAGCTGGAGATGGCCAGTGTATACACCTACGTATCTACGCTCTCAGTGTTGTTACCGGGGGCAGATTGCAAAATCCAGCAAATAGTCAAAGGAGACCAGAGTGCAGCACAGTTGGAAGCACACCTGTAGCGTTCAGGGAAGTTTTCATGGGTCCTTCACAAAACAGACTTCACTCGGGATTTCCAAGCGCATGTCTGAAGCAGGTCAACCCAGGACCTGGGAGGGAGAGGCCACAAAGGGCACGGAGGGATACGGATGGGAGGTGGGCGGCCCTGCGGGCTGTCAATCTAAGCTCATTTCCTCTACATGGCACAACCTCATCACCCCATCTGTTTCACCTTTTGACTGACGGGTCAGAAATTAATCAATACAATTGGGGGAGGGTAATAACCCTCCCCCATATAGTGTAATAGTTAAATGTGAAGTTCCTGAAAGCCACCGGGTTCATATCCTGCTGGCTCTATCATATCCTCCCAGCTGTGTGACTTTGGGCAAATTATTTAACTTCTTGGGTCCTCAGCTGACTCGTCCAGAAAATGAGTATGATGCTAGTCCTTCTTTCACAGTGAGGAGGAACCATCGTGATGCATGTAAGTGAGCACACTGCCAGTGTTAGCAGTTGTCAACTGACTATTATCAGCTGGGGGTCCCTCCCCAAACCACCATACACCCCATGTCCCTCTCTGCCCCTCCCAGAAGCTTACCAGGCCTTGTCATACTGGCGTCCCATGAGGATGTTCTCCCTGACGCTGCCCGCGATGATCCAGGCCTGCTGGGGGACATAGGCCAGGCTTCCATGCACCCCCACTGAGCCCTCCAGCACGTGCATCTGCAACAGAGTGAGTCCAGCCTCAGGACCGGGGTGGGACAGGGGACAGACCCTGCCTGGCTCAGCAGCCACAGTGCTCAGGGCCCCACTGCCCTCTGGGTCCCTGGGGGCTCTCCTAAGTAAATGGGACTTTTAGCTTGGTCCTGCCAGGCCCACCCGTGTGTCTGAGGGAGGTGCTGAGAACATGGGCAGCAGTGGGAGCCAAGCAGCCCAGTTCTTGCTGTGACTGAACCCTCAGTTTGCATTGAAGATGCCCCATACTTCTTCTCTTCTTTTCCCAACCCCATTCTCTAGCAAGAAGCACCTCCCTGCTCTTCACAGTGAGTCAGAAAGTTCCAGGCCTTCTCTGAGCATCCCTGGATATCACAGAATTATTACTAATGTTGTCAGGTGTGATAATGTCATCGTGGTTAGATGGAGAATGTCCTTACATTTTGGACATCATGATGAAGTTTTTAGTGGAAAAAGTGTCAAATTCTCTGTAATAAAATAGTTCTACACAATATGTTTCTGCATAGATGTGGGACACATGCAAATGGTGTCAACTGTTGTCATGAGTATAGGGGTCTTCAGTGTAGTGTCCTTCCTGCTCTTCTGTATGACAAGTTTAAAAACACACCCTAAAGAACATAACGGCCATAACCCCATCCCCGTCACCTCAGCACAGGACCTTGTCACCCTGTGATCCTTTCTCTTTCTTATCCTGTGCTGCTTCTGACGTGGAGTCGTGCTTTAATTAATGAGAACAAAACTTTACAATGACATCTTTGTGTCTTCCTTTATTGGGAGCAAAGTGGTTCATCTGAAGAGGAGACTCACAAACCACTATCACGTAGACAGGTGGCCTTGAATGGAAGCCGACAGGAAAGGCTGCTGTGATGAAAAGCAAAGCTCCCACAGCGGGTGGACCTGGTTTCAGCCCTGGCTCCAGCCCTTACCTGCTCTGTGACCTTGGGCAAGTCACCTCTCTGGACCTCATTCACTCATCTGTAAACTGGCCCTAATGACTGTGCCTTCCTCACAGGGTTGTTTTCAGGGTTGAAGGAAAAAATGAGATGCTCTTAGCAAAGGACCTGGCATGTAAGTACTATTTAAACTATTTTTACTATTTGAAAGAAGAAAACGTGGAGTCTTTCTTCTCCCCAGCACAAAGAAATTGGGGAAAGGCCAGGACATGTGGAGCACAAAGAAATGAGCTGCCAGACTGATGTATTAGGAGAGAATTCTGCTGACAACGTGAGCACATCCCAAGGAGGCGCTGAGTTGGGTATGCACATTTGGGAGAAGGAGCTGAGGGTGAGCTGAATAAAGGAAGGACCTGCTAGTTCTCCCAACAATGTGGGAAGGAGAGTTGACAGCATCCTCCAAGAAAGGAGGATGAAGAGAGAGAAGCCCCAGGACAGGGTGAGGCTGGGGCTGAGTGGGGAAGAGCTGGTGAGAACCCCCACGGGGAGGTGGCCAGAAACACGTACCAGGTGTTGTGGCCATTGTGAGGTGTTGTTTGCTGGCAGGTGTGCAATGTGACCTTAAATGTTTTGGGGGAATGGGATGGTTTTTTTTGGAATCTGGAGAAGGTATGGGCTGAGCCACATGTCTGCATAGCTGTGGAAAAAGCAGACCTCAAGAACGTCCACAGTCAGTGGAATTGGAGGGTTCAGGTCTCAAGGGCAGTGGCACAGTTCTACTGGTGGGGTTGGGACGGTCCCATCCCATCCAGAGGGCCATCTCTCCACCCCCTTCTTCCTCCTCCTCTTTTCTCCCTCCTCATGGCCCTCCTGATGCTGCCTCACAAGGGACACATGTCCCACTCTGAGTTTGGCCTCATTAAATGACTTTATTATCATTTTGGAGACACCCTGTATCACCACCCTGATAGCTGGTTGATTACAAAACAGGGTGGGGAAAGCAGAGAGAACAGGCGAGGATGGATCTTCAGGTGACCTCTCAGGGTCAGGAGGAAGCACATTTACAACTCACCTTCCCCTCAGCGCACGCTCAACCGTTTTCAATTGACAAAAATTTTATGGGCTCCGACTCCCATGAGGAAGACAGTGATGGTGTGACTTACTGGGCGACTCCAGCTTGGGAGCCCTGGGACTGCCTGTGGGTGGACACGCATGGGTCACAAGTCTCTTACCTCCTCCAGGATGGCTGACAACAGGCTGCTCTTGCCACTCCCAGTGTTGCCACAGACCCCTACCATGGTCCCCTGCAAAGCCAAGGAGGACAGACAGGCATTGGGACAGCACAACCCTCCCACTGGCCCAGGGTGGGTCTATTGTTTGAACACAAAACAACAAACAGAAAACAAATTAGCCACCTACCCTAAGGCCCCTCAGACAAGCAAAGCTCAAGAGGACCTCTGAGGTCAGTCTGTGGAGGTGGGAAGAGGAAACCTCAAGGGCAGGAAGTTGCATGGAAGTGGCAGAGAGCAATTCATGGATAGGTGGCCCTGTTGGGCAAGAAACCCAAATTCTAGATCAGCATCTATTCTACTCTGTGGTCCTGGGCAAGTCACTTAGACTCTCTGTGTCTCAGTTTCTTCATCTGTAAAATGGGGCAAGTGAAGCCAGCCTCACAGAATTCTTGCCTGCACTAATTCATTCATTCATTCATTCGACAATCAAATAGTCATTTGAGGTTCTTCTACATACCAAGTAATGAAGAAAAGAACTCTCCTGAGCTTACATTCTAGTGGGGGAGGGGAGTCAAACCATGAAACAAGTAAGCAAACAAACAAACAAATAAATAGTCAGATGGTGATAAGTGATATAAGTAAAATGAAGTCAGCTACTATGACAGAGAGTTGGGTGTTAACGCAATTTTAGATGGGTTGGCCAGGGAAGGCTTCTTAAAGCAGTGCCATTGTAGCTGAGACCCGAATGACAATAAGGATCCAGCCACAGGAAGATCTGGAGGTTCCAGGCTGTGGGAACAGCAGGTGCAAAGGTCCCGAGACAGGAACAAGGTTGGCTGCCAAAGACCTTGAGAGGGCTGGTATAGCTGGTGTGGAGGGAACAAATGGGAGAAAAGGTTGGAAAGGTGGGCAGGGTGCTCGGGAAACCTGGGCTCTATCCTGAGTGCAGTGGGAAGTCAGTGAAGGGTTTAAGCAGGAGAGTGACTTGGATTGGTTTGTGGATTAGAAGGATCACTCTGTGCACCGCGTGGTAGTAGATCATGAGAGAACAAAAGTGGAAGCAGAGAGGCTGGTCAGGAAGCTCTTAGAGGAGCTCGGAAGGCATGATGGTGGCTGGGGCTAGGGCAGTGGAGGGGACTAGGGTGAGAGGTGACTGGGTTCAGGAGAGATGTCCAAGTAGAGCTGACAGCCCTCGCTGATGGATAGGATTGACAGGAGGGAAGGAAAGGAATCAGGTGTGACTTCCAGGTCCTGGACCACTCAGGTGCTATCTCCTGAGGTGGGGGAGACTTGGGGAATGGGTCGGAGAGGGGGAATCTCAAGAGTTCTGTGTTGGCCTTGTTGTCTTTGAAATGCTTAATAGGCACTGAAGAGGAGAAAATTAAATAGACAGTTGAGCCTGGAGCTCAGAGGAGACTCCAAGGCTAGACATAAAGCATAGAGATGAAATTTAAAGCCATGAGATTGCAAGTGATCGCCAAGGGAGAAAGTGTAAATAGACAGTGGATATTAGATATTAATATCTATTACTATTGTATGTTAATATCGATTACTATGAGAGATTAATATCTTTTTAGATGTATCTACGATCAGATATTGATATCTATATATATTATTATTAGATATTAATATCTATTACTAGATTTTAATAGATAACAGAGAAGAAAATGCAGAGGGGAGATTTGGACAGAGCAGGGAAGATAGGCTTTGCAAACATAAGTCAGAGAAGAAGCCAGATAGGGTGAGTTCACAGAATAACCAAATTGAAATGTAGGATAATGCCCAGCACGTACTAGCAACATCATAAATGTGAGTCTAATCTCCTTCTCCTTCTCTGCTCTGTGTCTTTGGTCCCTCCAAAGACCAGCACACACATAGCATACTATTCTCGGTCTTGCCACTACAAAACAATTTTATATGATCCGTGATTCACACAAAAGTATGAAAGACTTCCTGTATTTGCCCTCCGTGAAAAATTTATGTTAAAGGGAGATTTGGAGGGGGCAGTTTTTAGCCAAGGAAATGGTGAGGTGCCAGGCCAAGCTCCTAGCCTCAGGCCCCAAAAGTCTGGCAGCCATCCTCCTTGCATGGCCTGAATGAAGTTACCTTTGACACCACCAGGTTTATCTCATGCAACTCTGGGGCCAGGCTGTCCCCTTCATCCTCTGGCCTTGGGACACCTGGAGGTGGCAGAGCCCTGGTCCTCTCCTTGGGAGTATGTCTGTTCCTCTCCAGTTCTAAGGCTCCCTTGAAAATCCTGGGGATGGTCCGTAGCCAGCACAGGGAGGCCTCCTCCAAAACCAGTGCTTTGCTGGGATCTTTCAATGCCTGGATGTGTAAAACAGGGCTCTTCTGGAGGAAAAACTTCTGTACAAACGAAAAGAAAGGGAGGGAGCAGGAATTCAGTTCTTTAGTCCAGTAGGAACGTGGGCCCAGTTTGCTGGCCTGCCCATTGGTCTGGTTTATGAAGTTCTAATAAACAGTAGAAGTTTGAAGAACCATCGCCAATTAGAAGGGGGCCAGTTAGAGCTGGTGAAAATTCTAAATCAATGTTTTCCAGATTTCAGACCTCTAGGCCACTCTTTCGTATTTGCATACTACCCGCTCTCTTAGTTCTATTCTGTTCTATTTTACAGTGACTAACGGCCTAACCCACATTAGCCTCTTCTGAAGTGATAACACCTGTTGACTCACAGTATTGATGTGTAGTTTCTCTAATGAAAGTTCATTCATAACTATTAAAAGTGAAAGGTCTGCCCATGTACCACACAGTGTTGTTTCGGCTCATACATTTCAAATCCTGACCATGGACAGCTCCCTTCTCTCTGTGTCTGTCCCCACCTCCCCGTCTGTAACAGGAGTTGAACTGTGTGTGAATTCGAGCACTAAAAAAGGTGGGTGGGAATATGATCTCATGGAAGTCAAATTACATCCACATGTCTCTACCTGGAGATATGCTTAGAAAGAGATGTAGAAGGATACTTCTTGACATTTGGGACGATGGTTTTATCTCTAGGTAGAGGATGCTGAGAACTTTCTATTCTCTGTATCTTTTCACATTGTCTCAACTCTTCAAAATGAGCACATAGCATTATAAAAACAAAACAAAAAGGTATTTTGAAACGAAAAAAGTGCTCTGTTTCTTTTTTTTAAATTGGATAGCAGATATTTTGAATTCGATTAATTATGACATTTAGGTCAAGGCATACAGTCATCATCAGGAATTGCATGGCCCCCTCTATTTCATTTAGTTAGTTGGGCACTTACTGTTTAGTTCTTTATAAGAACATAATGTATATCTGTGAGCCCACCACTGAACCGAAGAGCCATAACTTTGATCTATCTCTGGGGTCCTTCCCCATCTCATGCCGTTGCTTGGTGTGGGTGAAGCCCTCCAAGCCCTCCAAGCCCTCCAAGCCCTCCCCCCAGGGGAACCACTGTCCCAAATTTTATAGTTTTCATTCCCTTGCTTTTTAAAAGTATATATATATATATCACTTATATTGTAATTTTATTAAATACAAATTTGAGTAGCACACTGGCTTAATGAGTCAGTGTGACAAGCACACATTTGGATACCAATGAATGCTGATAAACAGGTTTATGGGGAACAAAAACAAGGTGTCCTCACATCCCCAAAAGCTCTAGGTAAATTCTCAATCTCTAATATTGTCCATGTCATTCAGTGCTTTTCACTTGATTTTCAATAAACAGCACAAAGGAAAGATAGTCTCCAGACCCTCCCACAGTGCACACCCTGGGGGCCTTCTCCAGAGCCTAGTGTGCACCCTCTGCAGCTCCCAGCATCCAGCTCACCTTCTACCTGAGGCCACCTGCAGGAGTCCTCCCCGAGGGCTCACAGCTCTCTTGCCCCTGCCTCTGGAAGCTGGCTCCCTGGTGTCCAAGGGCCAAAGGGCACAGGGCACTGAGACACAGTGCCCTCACAGCCCCAGGCACACAGAGGAGGAAGAGGGAGTCATGGCCTTGGGGATCATTCCTCCTCCTTCCATCCTCGGGCTCTCAGAGTCAAATGCCTAGGGTGCCAGATAGACAACTTAAGTGACTGAAGAAGGAAGAGTTGAAGATGGCTGATGAGTGAGGGGACTTGAGTGACCTCCCCATCCAAAGGGGCAGCCCTGCCAGCTCCAGGCTCTGATGCCATGAGGAAGTTCAGCCCAGGGTTCCAGATCTTTGCCCTGATCCTTGCCCATCCTGCCTCCTCGTCTCCCACCATGACTGCATCCATCCCATCCCCTTCCCACTCTCTAGCCACAGGCTCTTGGACCTCCAGGCTGTCTCTCCAGCCATTCCTTCAGTGAACACCCCTACCCACCCTTCTCAGCCCAGGTTGTAGCTTCCTCATCTCTGCTCACCCAGCAGGTGAAAACAGGCACCACAGGGGAGGGTGGGAGAAGCCAGTGCAGCAGTGGGAGGAGGAAGGCAGCAGGGGACCCTGAGGCCAGCAGAGGAGAAGTGAGGGGGCTCCTGGGGCTGTGGATAGTAGGGCTGTCTTGTGTTATCAGACAAGCCAAGTCCACCAGCTCAGGGCTTTTGCACTCGCCATTCCTTCTGCCTGGTCCCCATCACTCAGCTCCAAAGTCACCTCGGCAGAGGCCCTTCCCTGACCAGCCACCCAAAGAGCCCCATTCCTCCCCACTCACTCCCTAGAATATCGCACTGTTTACCAGCCTCATAGCTCTTCATCTGATCTGACGTTGTCTTCTTTGCATTAACGTGCTTGTTACCTGTCTGTGTCCAGGACCAGGTTGTAACTCCCTGAGAGCAGGGACCCTGTTGGTCATGCTCACTGTGGTATTCTCAGAGCCTGGCAGGCGGCAGGTGTTCTCAGCAAATATTTTTTGAATAAATGAATGCATGATATAGATCGGGGACTGAACGCATTTAAGTAAGATGATTATAAATTGTCTCTTAAAAGTTGATTTAGATTAGAGTTTTTAAACTCAGATGCCTGGAGAGGCAAGACCAGCTATGTAAAGAACTGAGGCAGCCTATTGCTAAGATGATAAATGATAAGAAAAACACAGCCCCAGGGTTACAGGTGACATAGGGCACGTCGCAGGCTGCAGCAAACTCCATCTAAATGACCCATCTACACAGGCAGCTATCACCTCGGCTCCAGCTGCTTGTGGCCCGGAGTTAATGAAGGTCCACTTGTCAGATCTTCTGATTATTCAAGAGAATCCAGAAATCTGAGGTTTTATATAAAATGTCCAGGTTTTTAAATGCAAGCAATAGATATGATTTTTTTTTAAAGAAGAACCATCAGGGTAACCCGACACAAACCTGGACAGAGCTTACAGACCACCTGTCTGAGACCTGGTTTGGATACACTATCCTAAAAATTCCTTGGGGCCAGAGAGCCGGCCTGATTCTTCTGTCTTCCTGTCACCAACTAGTGCCCCAAGGAACTCAAGGGTGGGTTTGGAAGCATTTACCTGTTTTTCCAAGTTGTGTTTTTATGTCAAGGGGATACAACCAGCAACCACCCTGAAGATAACCAAGCCTCCCTACAAGAGCTACACCCATGACCTTGGCTTATTTTTAATGCGAAGACCTCTTCAAGAGGAGATTAAGCCTCATTACCATAATCTGCAGTGTACCTGCCTCTCCCTGTTGAATAGTCATTCCCCAACCGAAATAAAAGTTCCTGCTTCCCTTTGTTCAGGGACACCATGACTTTGGAAATGATTCCTCATGGCCTCCTATTGCTGCAAATACACTTTACTTTCTGAGACAACTTCCACTGGTGTAGAGTCTTATTTAACTCACCAGGAGGTGAGCTCACTTGGTCGGTAAAAAATTGGCGACCAAGATGGGACATACTCCTTTGTGGTGCCTGTGTTGAAGGCTTGACATCACTTCCTGTGGGGAGACCCAGCAGCCACATGGAGCACTTTGCTCAGAGGATCTCTCCATGGAGGTGAGTGGTGGCAACCCCACGACATGGCTATAAGAGTTATTTCCCTAAGTTGTTTCACAAAGCCTGTCTGTTGGGGCCTGGCTGAGGGGTTTAAGTCCCCACCCAGAGGTAGCCTGGCTTAGGGGAGTGAGAGTCCCCTCTGTTTGGAAGGATTGCACGACCCGGCCACTCCAGAAGGGCCGATGCTTGGCTCTGCAAAATAGGAGCAATCCCGGTGACTAGCCAGGGATCAAACCCCATCTGGATATTGAATCTCATCTGGAGGGCACTGAGGCTGTCTATGTCAAATCCCATGAGATATTGAGTCTCATCTGGAGTGATGAGGTAGGGGTTTGAGGCCCCCTGAGGTCACCGAGTCTGCCTTTGTGTTGTACCTGTGATCAGAGGAGGGGTCCCCTTGGATGGGGTTAAACCCCTCTGGAGTGGCTGAGCCTGTTTTTTGTTGTTGTTGTTTGTTTTTTTGTTGTTTGTGTGTTTTGTTTGAGGATGCTTGATATTAGTGTTTTTGTTGAGGACGCTCGACATTTTCCACAGTCTGGTTTTCTGGACTCTAGGTCTCTTTTTCCTTGCTCTCCTTATCAGTGGTTTCACCCAGCGTCCACCCATTTTATTTTCCCTTTAATGATTTAGTTACATGGCCTGGATCTAGTGTCAGGCTATTAGGGTGCTAAATTTCCTTTGGGCAAAACCTGTGGCATCTGCATCACCACTAACCGTTACAGGATGCACATGGGAGGTTGGAAACAGACCATAAGAAAAGACGCTGGTCCACAGTCAGAGAGCTCTTGCAATGACTAGTCTTAAGAACTTAATCAAATTTGGAATCTCAGCCTCCTCCCGTGGTCTTAATGAAAGCTCTACATCCCACCTCCACCCCTGGGACCTCTCCTCTGGGTTCTGGTTTTGGAGAGTCTGTGTTCCATCCCTGGGAGCTCTCCTCTGGTTTGTGGGCACCTGAAGTGATTCCAGGTTGGCCCCTGGGTCAGTCATTTGACTGACAATCTGGAACCCTGTTTAGTCCTGTCAACAACCTGTTGAGTATTTTAGGCACCTACTGAGTCAGTTGTGGGGACAAGAGACCTGTATTCTGTAAGTTGTGCTTCAGGGTTGTGTTGCCCCAGCATGGGAACTGCTGTTTGTGTGACCCTTATCTTGATAATCCTTGGGAAGTGGCCATGAGGGCAAAG